GGATAAGGTAACTCTATATTATTCCTTTTTATTTATTTATTTATTATTATTTTGACAAATTATACTCCACCTTTAAAATATCTAATTTTAATCTTGTTTATTTATTTATTTTAAAAAAAAAAATTGATTTCTATTTTTATAATTTAGTTTAAAAATTAATATTCGATATTTGTCGTTTAAATTCTAGTCTTTTCTTTTAATTTCTCAATTGTTTTATGTTATTTCCATGACAAATGGTGTAATATCAGTGGATCTACAAGTTTGCACGTGGACATTAGTCTAGCGACTAGTGTGTCAGGACCTACCTCGATAACTAAAGACCTTCCAAGTTAGCCGAGTGGGTGGAAGTTGAACCATAGACGAGTACGTTATCTCTAAGTTGAGACTGATCATTACACATAAAAAGAACATCATAAACAGTTCATATTAGAGAGATACTACGAACACTTATAAGTATTAAGTGATCTCGTTCTAGTTAAATTCTCTGTTTGGGTCTGGTTAGAATTTTTTGTTATCTCAGATTGGGTTGGGTTGGGTTGGGTTAGATGGTCGTCTTGAACCATTCCATTTAGGGAGCTTTTGGTGCCCTTATGGGCTTGACCTAACCTTTGGACTTAGGAATTCATTTGGGTTTAAAAGCTTCTATGAACTTGGGCTTATAAAAAGACTATTATATTAATTTAGAAATTAATTTACGATCGACTTTGATTTATTTAGCGTTTTTCGAACGTTAAGGCATCGAGTGATCATGAAAAATATAAATTAAAAAAAATTAATTAAAAAAATCAATATTAATTGAAAAAAAAAAAAAATAGAGTAGGAATATTATTAGCAATGGTGAAGTGGATGGTGGTAGGCAATGAGTAGATTGGTGGATGTTGGAAAATATACATAAATACGAATCTTTTAAAGTGAAAAAAAAAAAAAAAAAAAAGCTTGGAATAATTTCGGTATTTTCCCACTTTGCGTGGTCTCAATTCTTCTTTGTGGACTCCATTTCAAATATGCTTCCTTCTCCTAAATTACCAAAATGCCCTTGCCCTATCTCGCCCTTCAAACTCGAGTTAATGATACTCTTCCAGATTCTTTGTGAGATCCCACCTCGGTCGGAAAGGGGAGGATATGGAATCCTTTCTCTAACAAACGTGCTTTAAAAATATCTATCAACGGTAGGCTTGAACTGTTATATTTTTAGTGGATAACAAGACTCGAGTCTCTTCTTAAATTTACTGTTACCTTTGGTCCAATTTCGAGACAGATAAATTTTACCATAACTTTTGGTCTAAAATTTTTTGTGTTAATTATAAAGAGACTCAGCTCGAAACTTAACCTAATTTTCAATATATTAAATAAATAATTAATAAAGAAAAATTATTTTCCTAACTTTGTATTAATATTGTTATTAAAAATATTTAATACTAAATTATAGTTTATCATATATATCATATTTGATATTTTATTAAAGACAAATATCTAATATATCTGTAATTTATTTGATTATTTTGAAACGGTTCATACATAAAATCTAACGAGATATTTTAAATAATGTAACGTAACTATTTAAAACAAATTGATTTATAATTTAATTAATATTTATATAAATTTCAACTAAAATATAAATTAATTTTTAAAGAAAAAGTCAAGAGTAGCGTGACCACACATAGCATCTAGAACAAACATACTTTTACTTTAATGTTAAAAGTCTTCCAATTTAACCGCCAACTAACCGTCCTTTTCCAAATTCAAATAAATAAATAAATAAATAATTTTTCTTTTCTCATTTTAAAAATATATCATTTTACCCATTAAAAATTAAATTATTCTTTTATTAATTTTCAAGAATTTGAATTTATTTTATTTATTTATTTATTAAAATTTGGGAGTTTCTAGAAGCGCGGTTTTGGAGATTCACGGAAACCATCATGTTCTCCGTAATTTTACATCATCCCTAACGTCATTTCCACCACGCTTCCTATTCCCAGATTACGACACGTCATTTATTTCCACGTGTCATAATCTGGAGACAGGTGATGGAATATGAAATTACTGTCAAGCCCATTTCTGATTAAATTAATTACAGTAAATTCCAAGACTTCGTCCCCAAGAAAATCGCTCTCAAGAGGCCAGGGTTGTTCGGTCAGATATAAAATTGAAACACGTCCTTCATTTTCGGCAGATTACGCCGCACCCGAATGATCTCCACGTTTCGCCATGATCGTTGATGATGTGAAGAAAGATCATAACGCTGAGCAGATTCCTGATTTGGATTTTCAGAAATTGGAAGTCGTAACGGCGCTCGGCCGAGGAGCGAAAGGAGTCGTGTTCTTGGCTCGAACTGCGAACGATGACGGCGGCGACGGCGAATGGCTGGCGTTGAAGGTGATTTCTAGAGATTTGATCGAGAGGAAGGCCAAGACTGTGAATAGCGATGCCGATGAGTATCGCAGAGTTTGCTTTGAACGAGAAGTTCTACGTCAGTTTCGGCATCCGCTTTTGCCTCGATTGCGAGGAGTTTTGGATACGAAGAAAGTTGTTGGTTACGCCATTGATTATTGCAATGGACGAGATCTTAATACTCTCAGGAAGAAACAGACCGAGAAAATGTTCTCCGATGACGTTATTAGGTAAATTGATTTGATATCTGTTTTGTGAAATTGATTTGTGGTTCTGTTTCTGATTGTGATTGTGATTGTGTTTCTGTTTGTTTAGATTTTACGCGGCGGAATTAGTTATGGCGTTGGAGTATGTTCACAGCCTTGGAATAGTTTACAGAGATTTAAAGCCGGACAACGTTATGGTTCAACATAACGGCCACATAATGCTTGTAGATTTTGATCTCTCTACGAGGCTCTCTCAGAAATCTCCTAAATCGTCTCCGTTATTGTTGCCGTCGGTGGAGGTTTTGACGGAATCTAGATCGACGATTAAGAAAAAAAGCAAGAAAAGATTCTTTCATTTTCACCGATTCTGCAACTCCGGCGTGTCGCCGGAAGATTCAGACCAACAGACGGCCAATAAGCAAAAATCTCGGCCGGAGGGGCGAAAATCGCCGCCAGATTCGTCGGAATCCGACTCATCGGAGAAGTCGAACTCGTTCGTCGGAACAGAGGAGTACGTGGCGCCGGAGATAGTCTCCGGGAAGGGGCATGACTTCGCCGTGGACTGGTGGTCGCTCGGAGTAGTTCTGTACGAGATGCTATACGGAACGACGCCGTTTAGAGGATCGAATCGGAAGGAAACGTTCTACCGTATACTGACAAAGACGCCGGATCTCAGCGGCGAAGTAACACCGTTAAGGGATTTGATAAGGAGGTTGCTGGAGAAAGATCCAACGAGGAGGATCGAACTGGAGGAAATCAAGAGCCACAATTTCTTTAAAGGAACTGGCTGGGATTTGGTCCTGGAAATTCCCCGGCCGCCGTCGCTGCCGGCAATAGCGACGGAGGAAACAGATGGAAATAACTTAATTGATGTTGAGTCTTTCGTCCAAGATATATTTTGCAGCGAAACGGAGAAGAAGAATCGTACGAACGGCGATGAAGAGAAAGGGTTTCTTCCTACTAATTACACGGAGTCTGACAGATTTCATGTGTTCTGACCATTTTTTATTTTTATATATATTTTTTATATATAAAAACTTTAATATTCTTCCCACAAATCACAAGATTGGCTTGTGGGTTGTTGTTATTATTATTATTATTATTATTATTATTATTATTAATTATTATTTAGAATTTAAAGCTTAAATTTCTATGTATAAAGTTTTAGTCCGCGATGACAGCGCAAAAGGTTAGGGAATTCATCTTGAAAAATGAAATAATAATAATAATATGTTATTGAAAATAAAAGTTGAATTGGATTATCAATTATGATTATTAATGTTTATTTAATAATTTTAATTAAAAGAAAATTTTACATAATTGATAATCCAATTATATTTTCAGTGGCATTATTAGGTATTCCGCAGAAAATAAAAATAAAAATAAAAAATAGGAATATTAAGAATATGCGAATCTTTTTTTAAATACATGCAAAAGCTTGTTAAATAATTGATGGAAAAATTAACATTAAGGAATAAAATAGTTTTTCTTAATATAAATAACAATTTATTTTAAAAATTATGATAAATAGAAATAAGGAACGTTGATATGTTTCTCTTCTTTCTTTAAAAATAATTTTGTTTGTTAAAAAAAAAAAAAACTATTATTTTTAGTTTTAAAATAGTAGTCTATATCATTTTCAAACGTTAATTTTAAAATATAAATAAAACCTAAAATAATTATCAAAGATTAAATTATTATTATTATTAAACAAATGAGAAAAACAAACCAACCCAACAAACAAGAGTCGGTGGCGTGGGCAGCAATCTATGAACGGTCAAAGGAGATTTAGAATGGCAATTAATATATATAATATATTAATTCTAATTCTAATTTTTAAAAATGGAATTATAATTTTTAAAAAGGAAAAAAAAAAAAAACAGATAATTTATATATATATATATTTAAAAAATGTTCGATTTAATTATCATTTTCATATATTAGAGAATAGCTCACTTTTTTTTTTTAATTAAAAATAAGATAATTATTTTACTCTACTTCAAAAATAGTTGAATTTTAAGAATGCAAGATAATAATAATAAAAAATGTCTTTTTTATTAAAAAAAAAAAACAGTTATAATTTCCCATTTAAAATTTAATATTTAAAATGTCTTTGTATATTAACTATAAATATTTAAAATTTAATATTTCAAACACGCTCACATTACTATCTATATGTCTTGATCGTCGAATCTTCGAAATTATATTTATATCCACTCGTATTTTATCTCAAAATTATTGATTTGGACGTCACAACACGATAATATGAACTCCTCAACCAACTAATCAATCTTCGTAAAACTCTAACTTATTTAAAACTATTTTGTAACCTATTTTGTTAAACTATTTCTTTAATTTCATATAAATTATGAATATGACAAAAATATTTTGTTCGTTAGGATCTCGGACCATTAATCAATATTTGAGACTATTGTTTTCTATTCATAATAACCATATTGCCACTTGAGCTTCGTGGGGCCGGTAGCATTGAAAAACACGACGCACATGTTAACACATGTCTTTACTTCATACGAACAATTCAAACACTGTCTAGTCTCATCATATTTAACCTTTCAGCCACCGACCACTAATCAATTTTCGGAAAATTTAGTTTATTTAAAATTTAATAATATTTGAATAAATAAGACGTACATAAATGAACCGAGAGCAAATTCTACCGAGAATGAGTGGATAGTTATTACCCATTTGGTGTCTCGATCATAGACTCCAGCTTACTTGGTGTGAAACAATCCTATGTAAACGTGATCCATAGGTAAACACGGTCATATTACATCAAATCTAAATTCCAGATCATGAACATGAGACGTTACAAATAAACTATCAATTCAATTTTAAAAGAATTACGTTCATTTGAACATTCAACATGCGTCGTAATCAATGTCTACTAACTAACTCCATAAATATTCGGAGCAGCCATGGACCATTTAACTTGATTTTCAAACCGCCCCATCACTGAAAAAACATTACTCAAACTTCAGCTAAATTTTGTGCAGATAATGTTTTTTTTTAAAAAAAAAAAAGTTAGCGTACGACTGAGGTTGTTTTCTGACACCCTTAAATTTGAAAGAATATATATAAAAACATGCACACGTTTGATAAAATTTAGTCGGTAAACATTACTATTAGTAATTTTCTTTAATATACAGCTTATTTACCTTCCGTGTTTTTGAGATAGTAGTTCGAGTAGATCCGAAAAATAGAAAGCTCTCTCTATACTTGGAATAAACTTGAGTGAGATTCCACGACTTCGAGATAGTAGCTCGAGAAGATCCGAAAAATAGAAAAACGAAAAATAACGCTCTCTATACTTAGAATGAACCTGAGCAAAATTAAGAAAACGACAAACGTGCACGATAAAAGTGAAAAAGTAATTAAACGAGCCGTCACAAAATTACCGAGAAGTAACAATTTTGAGGTGAAAATACCAAATTACCTAATAGAGAAGTAATGCTTTGAAGTGAATAAAAGCAAAGGCCTTTGGTGGATGGAAGAGTTAGGTAAAGAATAATACAAAAAGTAATGGGAAAGAACAATCCTACGTGTATTTTATTTATTTATTTATTTATTTTTGCATTATCGAATATGCTTTATTTATTTTATTCTCAGAACGAATATTCCATATGAAACGCACGTTTCATAATTGTAAACCATTTGACAATTATTTATAAAAAAAAAAAAATACAAATTATTTAAAATGAAAAATAAAATCTTTTTTCCTTTAAATAATTGAAATGAATTTCATTTTATTTAATAAAAATATTATTAAATTTTGTATTATATATTGGCAGGATATAATTTATTAAATTATTTAAAAATATTTATAAGGTAATATAATAATGGCGTCACATGTGGAAATTAATTTCAAACCGAAAAAAAGGACCATATTTTCTCAACAAATTTAAGACTGCCAGCCAATTTTCATAATTATTTTTTTTTATTTCTTTAACTGAAAACTAAATTTATTACCTACCTACTTTAATTTTTCTATATATTTTTATATTTTTCTATATATTGTTAACGAGAGGTTCGTAGCCCCGAGTCAAAGACAAAGTTTGACCAGCTTGATTCAATTTGCCCTATCTCGTTAAATTAGATATAAGTCTTTTAAAGTCGAGCCCGTTTACTTATGGGTTGATTATTCAGATCAATCCATCAAGGAGTTGAGACGATTGGGCCAATCCACTTACGAACACATATAACTACATTAAGACAATATCGAGAATTGTTGGGAGAAGAGTCCCACCTCAGTTAACTAAGGGGTTGATCATGGATTTATAAGGTCTTGTGGAGGTTCGTGATTCTTAACATGATATCAAAATCATGTCCTTAACTTACCCATATCAATAAAATTCTCAAGTGTCGAACAAATATGTACTTTGTTCGAGAGCTTCGGAGAAGGACTCGAGCCTCGAATAAGGAAAAGTTGCTCGAGGGCTCCTTAGGGTTCAGGGAAAGTTCTATAGTGTACTTTGTTCGATGGGAGGATTGTTGAGGATTATTAAATTAGATATAAATCACCCTTTTAGAGGTCGGGCCCATTAACTTATGGGCCAATTATTTGGATCAATCCATCACGTAACCTAATAAACTTTAAAATTTGTGCTCAAGGATTCAAGTTTATAATATTTTAGTCGAATATATCCGTCTTAAAATTAAAAATTTTAAAATATTTGAATTCATTAAAAATTAATATAAGATGTAATATTGTCATCCATTACGTATAGCCGTCAACTTTACGGTTTTAAAACACGTCTGTTAGGGGAAGATTTTCACACATTTATAAGTAATATTTTGTTCCTTTCTCTGACTGATTTCGATTTCACATCAATTATATAATAAAAACTATATAAAATTTATAACACTTTGAACGCCAATAAAATGGCTCCTCTTCCAACATTCTCGGATACGCTGAACCTTAAGCTCCACCCTTTCTCCGGCCACCGTAGCACACCGCAGCTTTCTCATAATGGAAGCCGTTATAGATCTGCCGGTGGTGGTGGAAACGGATAATCAACTGACGCCGGCTGACGGAGAAAGTAAGTCACGTGCGAAGACGCTGAGCAGAACTTCGTCTTCTGATAGAGATGAAGTTTATTCCGACACCGACACCGACACCGACGCCGATGTTGAAAATCAAAGGCTGTACGAGTTACCCAATTCTCACGACTTCTACTGCACCAACTGCAAATCAAGCATAACTAAAGTGATTATTCTCCGCAACCCTCCGTCGTGGTCGTTGATCTCGACTGCCGGAAAATCAACCGAGCCACCGCCGAGTTGTTCACCAGATCTGATGCCGAAGCTGCAGCCTCGGTATGATACAGATTCAGAAAGCTGTTGCATTTCCATTGAATGCAGAGGCAATGTGTATATGACCTTTGTATCAAGCCGCCCCGAGCCTAGGCATTGTTTCGAGATAGTGAAGAGCATTGTGTACGGAGGATTAACCGAAGCAATCACGAGCCTAGGCATCGTAACCTCCGGAGCAAGTGCCAATATTCCAATAGGTAAAATTATAATGGACGAGTTTTGGATCATTTGATTATTTTATTATCGTAATTTTGTAGAGGAATAGTCGTGTAATATTAAATTTGGTATGTACGATTTGCAGAGATTATCGGGGCTTTAGCATTGGCAAACATGATTATCGGTCTGTTTTTTAAACATCTTTGACCAAGATTTGGATTAGATTATCGACAATTTCCTCGAAAGCTAGGTTGTTTAGAAAGTGTTTAATGGTGCTATGAGGAATGTAATTTTACAGTTCTCTACGCTAAAGTCGAATCAACCCAAGAAATACCCGTACCGAAGAAAACGACCACAAGTCGATCCGTACGAGGAAGCCTTAGGCGACAGGCAGAATTATCTTCTTCACTACACCGCCGTCATTCTATCATTCTTACTCATCAGGCTTCTGCCTCCTCTGGTTTACAGCTTCTCCGTCCGCCACACCGACAGCAGCAATCTCAAACTCGCCGCTGTGGGTGTCACCTCGCTTCTATGCATTGCGCTACTCACCGTCGCGAAAGCTTACGTTCGGAATAAGTATGTCAAAATGCTAGCATATTACATTGTTCTAGGGTTAGGGGTCTTTGGCCTGTCTTATTTAGGAGGCAAGGTGCTTGGTAAGGTTGTTGAGCAACTTAGGTGGTTTAAGACAGACCCAATGTCTCCCACTTTGTTGCTCTGAACTTTGCAAAACCCACGTGGGGATTCATATGAACAATGCCTGGTTTCTTTATTTTCTTGCAAATGTTTGGACAGGTAATACAGGTAATATAGGTAATACAGGTAATACAGGTAATTCTTCTTGGGTTGCTTTCCAGTTTTGTTCTTGCAATCCTCTAACAATTTGCTCCATAATTTCCTACAACAAAGTATAGATTATCATAAAACATGTTCAAAAAGGGTAGCATAACGATCTTCTTCGGTAGTTCATGAACTTAAAAGATACATCGTTTAGTTTAGTGTGTTCCTTTAAGGACGAAAACATCAGCTATGAATAACTAAAATCCGTATTTTGACAACATCGATGTAATGGCATCCCAAGTCTGAAGATGTTGTTTGTCTTCGTTGCTCGCTTGGACAAACTTATCAAGAACTGATTCAGGAGTCAATTTTATTATCAAAAGGTCCTAAACATCCATCCATATGTGTACTATTGAGGCATGAGCCCTCTCGTATCCATATCGAGTCATTTATGGATAACATACTGGGAAACGACCCCATATACTAACCTACCACTAGATGGCAAGGACATAATATTGGCACACTCGTGCCGTTTGATACTGTCCTAAAAAATCCATTCCAAGAGAAAACACTCAAAACTCTTGTTTTGCAATGTTCGTCCACACCATGAAACACATGTATCATGAGGTAGCTCACTTAGGTCACGAAATCTAGGGGTAACGAAAAGCTAACATCATGCATCTCCCTATATACCTACCCCTCAAGTTAATATGGGTCTATTTCATAGTCCAACTGGGTCTTTTGCCATCCACGTGAGGGTCAACGAAATTAGGTCGTAGCCGACCCATGAGTCCGCTATGGGTTGGCCAACCTCTTCTTTCGTATTTTCACGTTCCTAATCTCTAAAATTCTCGGATTTGACCAACTACCTAGATTCACCTATACTTAAACAAAACATTCTAGCAAAGCACGATTTGACAATCACATTCAAATCTTATCGAAACATACTTAGTGAGCGTGATTCTGGGAAAGATTTCCACGGATACATTCTAGCAACATTGACTTTAATTTTATTTCCCGACCCTAATATTTTTGGATTGAAATTTAGATCTGCATAAAAAACACATATTATATATTACAAAGTATTCATTTTTTTCAAAACATTTCATCACTAGAGAAAATTGATACACACCATTTTGATTGCCACTTTTGAGGTCAAGGGAAGGAAGATCTAAGTCAGATTTTGAAGAATGCATATGAACTACATTCAATTCAAGTTCATTGTTATCCCCGATTATCTCCGGATTTATACCATTGCCTGCATCAAAATATGTTCATGTCGTGCTAGAACAGTCTAAATGGTAACTGATATCTTATCCATTGAGTTATGCTCGAATTGACATAAAATTCCTGAAACGCTATTTATTGTTAGGACGATCGAGTCTATCCATCAAATAATAAAGTTCGATCATACCTTGAATTGGGATGATTTCATTCGGTTGAGCTCCATTGTTATTAGCTTGAAGAGATTTGTCGTTGTTTTGCTCCACTCTAGAATGAGATTGATTTGTGTTTTGATCTAGTAAACATAAAATAAAGAGATATAGTCGGTACATATTAGGAGTGCTCATATAACTCGATAACTCGACTAATTCGGACTACTCAACCAAAACCATAAAGGTTGAGTTGACTTAGATATTTTTTCAATTTGGGTTGGGTTGAATTTTTAAAAAAATCAAAAAATTCAATTCAGTTTTTTAGTTGACTTTTTTTTTTTTTTTTTTTTTTTGTATGAAGTCAACTAAAAAACAAAGTTAAAAAAAAATTCAATTTTGTTATTAATAGTAAAAAATGTTATTATATTTAGAAATTAATATTTTAGTGTGACAATTTTGAATGTTAATTACGCAATTAAATATTCTAATTAAGGAATTAAATAAATTAAAAATTGAATTATGTACCTCCACAGCAATTACAGCACCTACATGCTCCTGAATAATAAAAATTTGAAAATTATTTATTATAATTAAAGAATATATGAAATAATAATAATAATAATAATAATTATTATTATTATTATAAGGAATTATTACCGTAGAAGCACATATTGCAATGTCTCCAGCAGTTGTTGCATATATTATTTATCCATATATTTTGTGAACCTGAAATGCATTTTTCTCATTATTATTATTATTATTCGTTAATCATAATTATAATTTAAACTAATTAATATTTTATCTTTCGATGGATTTTAAAGATCGATGGCTCAATCTCTCCATAAACATAAAATCCTCCGATACGTACCATTACGATCACCAGCGTCACCTGGGTTTGGATCTAGACATCCACAACAAGCACCTGAATTATGGAACGTCCCAAGTGATTAAAACGATCTTATAAAAATTATGAGTAATTTGGTCACATTTATTCAAGCATGAATGATGATGAACCCATCGAAACGTACAACATTCTCTCACGCAAGTCCACCCGCAGCATAACCATTGTAAGAACGTCAATGGATCCATTGCACCCTTCGTGCCTCCTGCAACAACAGATGTTTTCATGTATGTGATTTTTCTGTTTAGATCTCGTGTTCTATTATCTAGTTGATGTGAGACTGTATTCACTTTTCTAACGTGAGTAAACAAGTAAAAGCAAATTTCTTCCTTGATTTATAAAGATTAAGGGTCAAACGATAGGGGTTACTGATTTCTCATTTGTAACAGCTCAAGCCTACCGCTAAGAGATATTGTATGCTTTGGCTCATTACGTATCGCCGTCAATTTCACGGTTTCAAAATTCGTCTACTAGAGAGGTTTCCACACCCTTATAAGGAATGTTTCGTTTCCCTCTCCAACTGATGTGGGATTTCACGGTTTCAAAATTCGTCTACTAGAGAGGTTTCCACACCCTTATAAGGAATGTTTCGTTTCCCTCTCCAACTGATGTGGGATTTCACAATCCACCCCCTTGGGGGGCCAAGCATCCTCACTAGCACACCGCCCGATGTCTGGATCTAATATCGTTTGTAACAGTTCAAGCCCACCGCTAGCAGATATTGTCCACTCTGGCCGTTACATATTGCTGTCAACCTCACGGTTTTAAAACGTGTCTACTAAGAAAGGTTTCCACACCCTTATAAGAAATGTTTCGTTTTCCTCTCCAACCGATATGGGATCTCACAATCCACCCTTCTTGGAGGCCCAACATCCTCACTTGCACACCACCTGATGTCTGACTATGATACCATTTCTAACAACCCAAGCCCATCACTAGAAGATATTGTCCACTTTGACTCGTTACGTATCACCATCGGCCTCACGGTTTTAAAACGCATCTTCTAGGGAGAGGTTTCCACACTCTTATAAGAAATGTTTCGTTCCCCTCTCCAACCGATATGGAATCTCACACCATCTCATTGGGGGTGAAAAACGAATCGACCTCTCGATAAGAGACATCCTTTTCAAACCGTCCAATGAAGATAAGAGGAGAACAAAGCACAAGTCACGCGTGAAGCTCCAGGGAACCGACACAGATAAAAATTTTGAAGTTATTGAAATAGATTCTTTCCGAGTAGCTGTTTCCGAAGCAAGAAAAAGTAAACTCATACCTGCCGTGCTCTAACTCCAAGCTCTTCCTTTCTTCCTCCTTCAAGTGTGTCCAAGAACATAAGAACATCACTTAGCCTCACCAACTAGCATTAAAATACTTCCATTTTTTCAATAAACTATAGCGTAAAAACAACTGGCCACCTAGCATACCCTCATATTAATCATTGACATTTAAATACTCTTTAAACAACCTTTGTGGACAAAGATTTCTTAACTACTACAACCATGTTACCGCTACCAACTTGTTTGGATAAGGTTATGTTTGCACGTCATTTTGTAGCCTCCGTCTCAATTTATTAAATATTTCATTAATCAAGCCGATGTCACGGTCATACTTGTCCAAAGCATGTTGCCTATGACCGCATGACAGATGTCCCAGTCTTAGTTGTCTGAGTCGGTTGACAAGGAGGATGTCACGGTCATGCTTGTCCAAAACATGTTGTTTATGGCCGCATGATAGATGTCCCATTCTTGCTTGTTTGAGTCGGTTGACTGGGACGTTAACCAATTGAGTGGAGGAGGATGTCACATACATGCAACCATAGGCAACACGCCTTGGACAAATATGAACCCCTTCTCACAATTGCACTTTGATGACAGCAGAATTGCGATTGTGCGACACTCACTTCCCAACAGCAAGTGAGTTAAGTCTATTCGTTCTTGTGTCGTCTACGGCCAAGCGATGTATGCTCGAGCCTTTGGCCCTGGTTCAAGATTAGAAAACGGGTAGAGAGATTTCGAAATAGAGTTTTGAAATCAAGATTTGAGAAATTGAAATTTGTGTTTTCGGGGAATGTAAGCAAAATGTAACAACGGCTTACTGCATATAACTATCGGGTAGGGACGTCATTTCATAGCATTTGTCTCAAATTTTTACTGCTCGGTCTTCTCCTCAATCACTTCCTTCGGAGCCTAGCGTTTTCGCTGACAATCGTTCCTCTCTCCAATTGATGTGGGATCTTACAATCCACCCCCTCTCGGACTCAGCGTCCTGGCACACCGCCGAGCGTCTAGCTCTGATAGCGTTTGTAAAAGCCCAAGCCTATACCGCTAACAAATATTGTCTTCCTTGAGTTTTCTATTTAGAGCTTCCGTTCAAGGTGAAATTTGATGGAATTTGTTTGGATAATTAAATGAGAGATTAATTATAATGAGTTAATTAAACTATAATTATACCAAATGTTGATAGTTAGTTACGGACTCCTGAAACTCAAAGAAAACAAGAAACAAAAAGATTCAGTATATGCTTTGGACTCTGAAACGAACCTCCTCCATTGATTCTGTCCCAGCTACCGGAGTTCGTCTCCTCCGATGAACAGAGATAAGCATCCGCCGGAGGTGGAAACAGAGACGACGGGGGAGGATGACGAAGAACCAAGTGTTTTGCTACGGAGGAAGAAATTTCGTCAACGCGCTCAGTCTAGCTTCTCATCCACTGACAGCGACGAAACGTTCTCCGAGAATTCCGACGGACGTAAATTCGTCGTTCGAGATGAACAACAACAAGAACAATGTAAGTTTCGGCAAATTATTCATCGCTGTTTGGATTTCTTTGTTCTCCTCCCGTTCTTGTAATGTACTTTAGTCGCCATTTGAAACTAGAATTTGAGGATTAGAGGCGTGAAACCGATCGCCATTGTTGCGCTACTGTTATTACAGACAGGAGGCCAAAATGAAGCTTCATTAGGCGAAAACACAGTTAAATTTATTCCTTCAAATACTTTCTAAATTCGTGGATCTACTCGATTTCCTTTCTTTTAATTAATCGATTCTCATTCCGTAAATCTTGGCGAAGAGGACGAAGACTACGTGTTCGACGAAGGGAAAATGATCGCCACAGTTCGTTTTGTTTTGGTCTGATTTGTTAGGTTGCTTAATTAATAATTAATTCTCTTAATTACAGTGTTAACTTTACGAAAACTTTTCTGCAGAACAAACTAAGTAACACGTCATTATCGTTAATAATAATCAATCATTAATGTTCTTTAATTTTCTTGTATGTTTTAGCAACATATTCAGAACTCAGAGATACCGACAATTTAGAACTGGGTCCCGTCCTATGTCAAAATCCTCCTGCAGTTTGTTCTTTCTGCTAGTAACTTGCAGCAAGCGTAATTGGGTTCTTTAGACTAACCAGAGCTCTTGAACGTTTAGGATTTGAATTTTTACTGTATGGATTCTTTCCCTATGATAGGAGTTGGATTCTGTAACCAATCAAGAACAGAACCCTCAGTCAATTTTATCTACCCAAACAAATTGCAGGAGCCTTTTAATTCTGTCAATTATGCTACTGTTGAATGATGGGAAATTTGTTTTTCTCGCCATTGATCTACGGGAAGAACTTGAATGAAAAGCTCTGCTGAAGTTATGTGATTCTTATTATATTTTTGGTACCAAATTTGGGTATTCATTTGGAAATTCGATGTTTCCTTCCTGTTTTATGATTTCTTATTGTAACTTCAGGTACTGGATGCTCTAATGGATCTTCTCGGTTGAAAGTCGATGGTGATCGTCATGCTTTTTTTGAAGTAAGCCCCACTGATGAGATTGAAGCTATCAGCACAAGGAAAACAGGCTCGCTAAATGGTACTGGGATCAAGTACCAGCATGATCAGATCCCTTCAACTGTTTCTAATCAACCATCCAAGGAGGAAATTGAGGAGCAGGCTTCATATAAAAGAGTGGAGTTGAGGTCAGAAAATGGAACTCAAGTGGCGGATTTATATCTTGGAAGGATATATGAGAAACCCAGCTCGCATAATTTCTACTGTCCTAACTGTCACGCTTGTGTCACGAAGGTGATTATACGTGAAAGGGAATGGGTAAATAATACTGTTTCTAAACCAATTCCTTCTCCGGTTGATAGATTCAGATGCACCTCTTGCCTCAGTTTCCTCGCCCCTATGGGTGCGTTTCTCATTCTTATCTGATATATGTTGTATGGTTCAAACTGTACTGCAGCAGTTGACTCCTAAAATATGTAGATCCCTCATCCCTTGGAGAAGGGAAGTTCTCCAAAACATTTTATAAGAGTGTGGAAACATCTTCCTAACAAACGCGTTTTAAAAATCTTGAGGGGAAACTCGGAAGAAAAAGTCTAAAGAGGACAATATCTGCTAGCGGTGAGTTTGGGTCGTTACAAATGGTATTAGAGCTAGACTCCGGAAGGTGTGCTAGCGAGGATGTTGAGCCCCGAAGGAGTTGGACACTGAGCAGTGTGCCAGAAAAAACGCCTAACCCCGAAAGAGAGTGGACATTAGGGGGTGTGCCAACGAGAAAAGTCCAAAAGAAAAGCCCAAAGATGTGGAAACTTCTTCTTAACAGACATGTTTTAAAAAATCTTGAAGGAAAGTCCCAAAGGGAAATCCCAAAGAGGACAATATCTGCTAGCGGTGGGTTTGGGCCGTTTCAAAATAATTCTGCATAGTTGTGAAAACTGTTGCCATTAATGGTTTTGCCACTTGCTGATATTGAAAGAAAAGCCTCTCCCTTAGAGGATGCCGGTGGCACATGCTGTTTGAGGCTTAAAATAAAAAACCTTAGGAAATTTTAGAGATACACTTCAGTTTTTATGTTAAGATTAATCATCACTGTGAAGGTTATGCGGGAGTTGACTTGGAATCATGTAATTGTTTCATCTCTGTTTGCAATGTATTCATAAATAGAGGGAAGGGACCTTTTGAATATTGTCTTAGCCTTTGGAAACAGTCATGGATAAAGGGTAGTTTATCATATATGTTTGTGTATGTTGTCAAATGGATCTTACCAGGATTACTGAGTTAAGCTATTTTTACAATGGGCAGGTGCATGGCTCTTTCCTAAATTGGCTACTCCTGACCGTGAGGAAGAAGTTTTATCTGGACAAGGTATTTGATTTTGTACATGCTTTTGGTGTTTTAAGTCTTTTTTTTTTTCAACTTTTTGAAGATTATCGTAACCGACATGAACTAAGATGCAAATTAGAAAGATTGATATTTCCAATGATACTTGTTCTAAGAACATTGCTAGTAAACAATGTTTAATAGTTTCCAGACCAAGTCCTCATCATCAGCATGGAGAATAAATCTCATAATCCTCTTCATTCATCCATCTAATTTCTCTCCATTCTTAGTTTCCTTCTGAGAAATCAAAGCAGAAGAAGAAAGATCTTTCATCATTTATTTTCACAGCTACGCTTCTGATCCCTTTCCCAAAAAAGATAAAACATGCGTGGCTATTTGAAATTGATTCTTTGCATGTGAGGAAATTACTTTCTGCTGTCTATATAATGTTGAAGCATAGCTTTATGAGGATATATGGTTGGAGGAATATCATAGCAGTTGCCGTACCAGTAAGTTGGATGATGAAAGTCTCATATTGGCTAATTTTAGGGAATGATCATGGGTTTATAATCAAAGAATACTCTCTCCATTGGTATGAGGCCTTTGGAGAAGCCCAAAGCAAAGCCATGAGAGCATATGCTCAAAGTGGACAATATCATACAATTCGTGTTCATCTAACATGGTATTAGAGCTATGCCCTAAACTTAGTCGTACCAATAGATTGGTAAATTCTCAAATGTCGAACAAAAGACTCCAAAAGAAAAGGAGTCGAGCCTAGATTATGGGGAAGTGTACTTTGTACGAGGGGAGGTGTTGGATGATGAAAGTCCCACATCAGCTAATTTAGGGAATGATCATGTGTTTATAATCAAAGAATACTCTCTCTATTGGAATGAGGCCTTTTGGGGAAGCTCAAAGCAAAGCAATGAGAGCTTATGCTCAAAGTGGACAATATCATACCATAGTGGAGAGTCGTGTTCATCTAACAAGATTATGACATCAAGTCAAAGTACTCTCATGGTCTTTTCCTACTAAATATGCGCGCAGGAAATAACGCTGCAAGCATAGGGATCAGAGAAAGGGAGACATTTCAAGTGTTGCAGGAAACAAGAGATCATCAAGGAAGTCGAGTTGGTAGAGACACTTCCAGGGTTCCCGATCAGTCAGTTCATTGTGCAGTAACTGATAAAGTTGAAGGTGATCATGCTGTATCTAATTCAACGCCAACTCATTCTTCACGCAACAGAACAATTGCCGATGAAGGAGTGAATATCAAACAAGGTAGAGGGAAAGTTGGAGTGAATATCAAACAAGGTAGAGGCAAAGTGTTAAGAATTTATATTTGTTGAAATTAACAGAGATTTACTCGAGTTAATATTAATAGAGATTTATTAGTTGAAACAGGACGTGTGGTGGATAGAGGAGTAGAAGCTGAACCAAGTAGGTTTAACAGGTGGGAAATTGTGAAAAGTATAGTGTATGGTGGTTTATCTGAATCAATTACAAGCCTCGGCATTATGACATCTGCAGCGAGTGCCAATACTGCAACAGGTTATGATTTACTACTTTTTTCCATCCTGCTTATAGCATCTAAACTTCATTTGTATAAGAAACATGAACTTGAGTTGTACCATATATATAGAACAGCATTTCTTAAACATTTTTGGATCTTCAAGAGATGCTAGAGTACGGACATCTCAAGTTACACCATAATATGGAACAGCATCTGTCTTTGAATCAATGATATATCCTGGTTTTTTTTTACCTAAACTAAGTTGTGTCAAAATATTAATATATTTTCACGTTGTTTTTGCAGGCAACATTATAGTTTTGGCATTGGCAAATCTGATTAGAGGGCTCTTTATCCTTGGACATAATGTAAGTAACTGACTTTCTGATAAACCGCAGAGATGAATGTTTATTTAATTTAGAACGATTACTAAAAGAAGTAGATGGTAGAGGAGATGGTGTACGGGAGACTTGTTGAACTTTCTTGCTAAACGGTTTCATCTTAAGACTCTTAGCGCATTTATATTGTGTCACGGTAGTATGTTGAGAAAGACTGTTTATGATTTGGCTTGTGTGATGGTACATGAGGCACATTCGAGATGTATTGATTACCTACTTTTTGGTCTCGTCGCATCTTTATTACTTTGTTCAAAATTCCATAGCATTTTTGTTTTGTTGAATCATAAACTGTCTCTCATTAAACATACACAATTTTCAGTTGAGAGCACTCAAGACCCAGCAGTTCAGAAGGACATCTCATGAATTAGTAGACCGATACGAAGTAGTACTGGGAAACCGAGAGAATTACGTTCTCCATTGCACGCTTGCCATCATCTCATTCATACTCTTTGGCTTAGTCCCCACTCTGGTTTACGCTTTAACATTCACCAAGAGCAATAACAAGGATTTCAAGCTTGCAGCAGCGGTAGGAGCTTCTTTTTTATGCATCATATTGCTTGCTATTGGGAAGGCTTCCATTCAGAGACCAAAAAATTGGGATGCATACGCCAAAACAGTAGCGACTTACATCGTTATAGCAGCCTGGGCCGGAAGCTTCTCATACATGGCTGGGGATCTACTCGACAAGTTCATCAAGAAATACAATGATTGGTTTGAGCGAAGCCGCTCTGCATTCAAGCTCAATCTGCCTCTTCCTGAGATGAGTTTGGCGGAATCAGCATGGGGATCCTTGTGAGGTAGCTCCAAATATGAAGTTAGAACATTTTGTTATTTTCAACTACTTTCATTGTTGACAGAAACGCACTCAAAATCTCCAATTAATTCACTTTTTTTGCAAGGAAGCCAAATGGATTGCATTGACTTCCTGTTTACAAAAAGGGAATAACAAATTCCAGACAGTTTATCATCTGGTTCTTCTATTCTTTACTTTTTTTCCTCTCAATCTTACAATATAATGAAGAAATGTAGAAGGAAAATGTTCTTATTCACCTCGAATTGGTCTCTGCACAAGTGAAGAAATGGGAACCAAATACACTAACAAACCTTCATTGTTTCCCAGTCTCCCCTTTTTGAGTGGAATGATGATAATTCATCAGAACATCCATCTTGGGGAAGAATGAGCAGCAGCAGTGCTTTGCCTTGGTTTGCTAACTTGTTCCGAGCTGTTTCGCTTCTTCATGATCGAGGAGACTGTCGGGCTGTAGTAGTCATTGCTCCGGTAAGATCCAGCCCCTTGAGAATACATCTTCCTTCCATTTCTGAAACTTCTTTGATTCTCTAGGATTGTTCGGCGAGCCATGGGATTTCTTTGGACTGATCCCCATCTGTTGTAGTTTACACAACTCTGACTCCTTCCAACCTGTTGAAACTTACCTTCTCTAGGACTCGTATAGTTTCGACTCTCTGCAGTTTCTGCAGAGTACATTGTTGTCTCTCCCTCGCTGCTATGCCCGTTATGCATCGCTGAAACTTCCTCGGGAGATGAACAAGACTGAACTTCACTTAAGGCCCCGTTTACAGAATTGGTTGAGGCAACCTCTTCTCTGTTTTCGATTGGATCGACGAGTTGTCTCTCCATGCTTGGGTATTGTCTCCATTGGTTGTGTTGAGAAACATCCTTCGTGGAATTTTCATTAGAGCCATGTGGGTTTTGTCTGGTAGGTTTACCCGTAATCACAGCAATGGATACTCTCGGAGGAAAGTTGATATCCCGTAGCTGCATTGGCGCGCTTTCCTTTTTTCGAAGAGGAACTGCTATCAACTTTGGCGATTCATATATTTCAGGTGTAGGAATTCCTTGCACATGGTTTAGGTGTAGGTTATTCGTAGGAGCCTCTTCCTTGATCGTGTTTGTCGTAGTGGAATAGCTCGGTCCGGGCAGTTCTTCCCTGGTTTCCTCATCATTCGCTTCCATTGGCTTAAAAACTTGCCTCAATGTAAAGGAAGAAGAATGCTCACTCTTTTGTCCTGAAGACATCAATCTTATGAGTTGTGGCTTTGGTTTGTTAAGTTCCTCAAGACTACCTTCCCAATGTTGGTTTAACCAACCACAAATGATAGGCAGAGGAATCCCAAATTGCATAGGAAGATCCTTCTTACAAGATGACGAAGACGACGAAGAAGTCGATGATGATTTGGTATTCGGAGACGTGGCTAGTTTCATAGGATCACATACCATGAATGCAAGGTTACCTTGTGCATCAAACCCAGCAGACCCGGGACTACACGTTACCCCATCGGTCGATAATTTTATAAGGTTATCAGTAGCTATAGCCACCTTGCCCTCACTAATGATAAGTTCATCTTTGTCAGAAAATCCCAAGAGGTAAACAGCATTGCCAAGATCAAGATTTGGTTTAGAACATATCTTTAAGTGCTGAAGCTGCTGCTGAGAGTGGGAGTCTCCTTCCACTGCATCTAAGCCCACTATTGTAAGATCCAAAATGGAACTTGTAATGAAGAACCTGCAATCAAAGTAGAGTGTTGGATGAAATGATTCACATAATGCGTACAGTTCATAAAAGTAAAACGCAAACAGTCTCAGAAGGATATAGAGGCTCTACTCCTTGCATTGTGCCACCCAAAGGCCAGTTTCCAAAGACAACAAAGGGCTTTAAATTTTACGTTTTCCGCCCCGAGCGCTAGAAGACAAGTGTATATAATGACAAAGAACACAGGTATTATAGCGTAATGACCCAAGTCTATCGTTAGTAGATATTGTCCGTTTTAGCCCTTTACGTACCACCGTCAGCGTCGCAGTTTTAAAACACGTCTATTAAAGAGAGGTTTCCACACCCTTGTAAAGAATATTTTTGTTCCTCTCTCCATGTGGGATCTCACAATCCACCCCCCTTGGGAGCTTAACGTTCTCACTGGCACACCACCCGGTATTTGGTTTTGATACTATTTTGTAACGGTTCAAGCCCATTGCTAGTAGATACTATCCATTTTGGCCCGTTACGTATCGTAGTCAGCCTAACAAATTAAAATGCGTCTATTAGGGAGAGGTTTCCACACCCTTGTAAGGAATTCTTTGTTCCCCTCTCCAACCGACGTGGGATCTCACAATCCACTCTCCTTGAGGGTCCAATGTCCACACTGGCACCGTCAAATGTCTAGTTCTTATACCGTTTTGTAATGGCCCAAGCCCACTACTAGCAAATATTGTCTTTTTTGGCCCATTAGGTATTGCAGTCAACCTCAACGGTTTTAAAATGCGCCTGTTAGGGAGAGGTTTCCACATCTTTCTAACAAATGCTTCATTCTCCTCTCCAAACCGATATGGGATCTCAAATAGGTAATACATTACTCACATCCGAGAATAGTTTTACCTCAAAATTATGTGGATAGAATAAAAGAAGTGCAGAAACATAACTCTTCTCCAAACAAGGCTATGCAAAAATTGAAAAATTGAAATATATAACCTACAAACAGAAGAGAAAAAGGAAAGGAGAACACTCGTAGCAATCAGTTTGCTCACAAGCCGATCAATAGATCAAGCAAAATTAAGCTCGGATGTTCTCCCCCATGCCGAACGCCACCGAACAGTAAAATCCAACTTGCTCGGTGAATTACTTGAGCCCAGATACATTTTCGGTGCCATGGAGCTAGACCAGTAGCGAGCTAAAGACTTAAAATCAAACTATAAAGATGCTCAAGCCCAACCATGAAAATACTCGATTGATTTTGAAAGTTAGAAAGAAAAGGAACAGTTCAGGAACTTCTAAAACTCTACCATTATAAACTTGCACACAGTTACTTCAGCCATCAATTTCCATATCCCAACTATTTCCACCAAACAAAACAAGAAGTGTAAACGCAAAGGCACAAAACAGCAAGCAGAATACTCCAAAACAATCCCAAAACAAACAAACAAACAAACAAACAAAAGAACCCCAAAAGAAAAAAAAAAAAAATAGTCACCTGTGAGGAACGAGAGTGGCGGCGCCGCCGTTTTGGAGGCGGATCTCGCAACTCTCAGCAGCAGAAACGGAGGGAAGATTAACATGGGTGGTCAAAAGAAGGCTCCGGTGGATCAAAAAAGCAGTGCCAGAGGAGGCGCCATTAGCAGAAGAAGAAGAAGAAGAAGAAGAAGCGGCGGAGATTCGCGCCATTGCAGGAGCTTTGCCGGAAAAAATGGCAGCCTTGGTTCGCTCGGACTTGCCGACCCCATTGCAGAAGCACAAGGAATCACCCAAAACACCCATTGGAAATGGGATCTTGTAGGTGAATTGGGAAATGGGTGTTGAAATTATGGATCTAGAAGAAGATATCGAAGTGGGGATTGCAGCATTTGAGCAAAAGGGGTAATGTGAAGACTACAAATGTGAAATTTGTCGCCATTTTTGTGTCACATAGACAGAAAAGAGAAAGAGAAGTGTTGTATAAAGTGCTTGTAGAGAAGAACAGCGAAATGTTATTTGTTATTTGAGCTGTGCCACTTGGAATGTCGGACCATCCATTCCGACCTCCTCGACATTTTAGACATAAACAGGTTCAAATTTTCTTAATCTTCGTATATATATTTTTAAAAAATTGAGAACTCAATTTACTAGACAGAGAGAGAGAGAGAGATTTGTTAAGAGAGTGAGAGAGAGAAAGCGTGTGGGGCTTTCAAGCGTGTGGGGCTTTCAGAGTGTTTGTGCCCTAAAAAAAATTCTCACAAATTGTGGAGGGAAAAGTGTGGATTACGCATAGTGTCACCCACACTTGCTTTATCAATCAAACTTAGTTAGGATTGTTACACGTGTCATATGCTTTAAATCCTTTATCCATGAAATTTAAATAATAAAAATGTGGTCAAAGTATTTGAATTCTCTAAAACTTTTAGTAATTGTTGAATAATTTTTTTAGGGAAAGTTTTTACCACCATACTCGAGAAATATTGGCATGCTTGATGCTACAATAATATCAAACCAACCCTAGACGACCTAGAACATTGCTAAAACAAAATTTAACTACTAACGATATACACGATGTATACTTCAATTAATTATGTGTTCAATAAATACCTTTCTCCAAGATCATCTTTTAAAGCAAATCAAGACAAGTTTTTCATTTATTTCCGATCACCTGAAAGCACGGCGATCATTTCAAAAGTTAGCAAATCTCGACCGAAAATAGGTAAGAAAATGTAGAGTACAAGAAGCTCAAGATTCCATAAGAAAGTTAAAGAAAAATTGTATACGGAAGAAGCAATAGGACCTTGCTGGAATTATCATCTTCAACTTCTGCTCTTTTCTTCTTTCTGCTGCTAATTTCTTAATTTGGAAGAGAAATATCAGTTTATTGATAATTGAACCATAAAGTAAACAGGCCTATGAAATTAAACAGAGAAAAGGAAATTAAACATAAAGAACAAAATTGTCAACTATCAGAATTCTCTTCTTATTATATCATAATCCACACCATATGGTTATAATCTTTACTTGTATATTGAAGAATCCAAGAAACTTTGGATCCTTTCCTTCCTTGATATATGGGGAAATAGAAATGTTTCAAGGATCCTTTTTGTTTACTTGCCCAGGTACCCTCTGTGCGTAGAGCTGTTGCTCCCGAGCTTGTTTAGCGGCTAAAGCTTCCTCGTCCAGCACTTGGATCGGGGACCATTCGGGTAATTTCATCCAGCTACTACTTTCTTCAAGTATTGTTTCTTTGTAGCTTCTGAAAACAGGTTTTAGTTTGAGTGTGCCATAATCTATTGCTGTCCCAGCGACGGTGAACATTATTGAGTATCGAACAGAGCCGAGCCGACCACCTGAAAAGAGAATGTACGCTGTAGATTCATAATATTTCATCTCTACCCATTTGTGTACCCTATGAATCATCAAGTTCTAGTTCAACCTAAGCAAGGCTCTCCCTCATTCAACAGCATCAAATTATAAAAACATCCTTCTATCTTTTCCCTGACTCATTCCTGTACTGAAAACTGATTCATAACGTAAACCATACAAAAATAACTAGAGATTTGTGCAATAACTAAGATGTGCAAAATTAGTATAGAACCAAGTTCAAAGCAATAGTCTAAGTCCAAGATAAAAAAAACAGACTTGCTTCTGTACATGTGAGAGTGAGGGATGTGGAGTTAATTAACCTTGAAGGCGTCCAAGAAGAGCTCCGGTCCCGAACCCTGCTATTGCAGAGTTCATAAGGTCGTCAGGTTCTGACCTTCGAGAAACTCTAACAAACTCGCGTGCTCCTGTTAAATGTATGAACTTGGTTATTTTTTTTTCATTCAATATTCATCTTGTTGGAAACAAAACTATTATGGTTTTTTATTGAATAAAACAAAAATTTCCATTGTTTCTGGAAGCACTACTCCAACTTTCTTTTAAGTTGGAAAAAGTCGTTCATTAAAAAATAACAGCACAAGCAATGCAGCAATAGCAGTAGCTATGAAAATAGAACAATCCTGGAAAAGAATTATGCTGCCGGAAAAGGCTACGTCATACCCTTAACACTAGGCCGACAGTTGAAAGGCACAAATTCTGGCATAACTACGAAGATCAACCCTAAATGGTCTAGAACAAAGTATTAAATAAACATAGCTAAACTCCGCAGCTCAGAATTCCCAAAAAAACAGAGCCTGTTGTCCTTGTGAGAATAGTTAATGATGATGTTAAAAATGGAGAGGAAGTTGTTGATCTAGACTTGAGAGTCTGTGAGGAGTAAGTGCCGAACAAAAATTGGAAGGAAATAATAGGAAAATGAAGCTCTTTCACCTCTCTATCAATCTAAAGAAGAAACCTCATGGAAATTGAGAAGGAACTGAGTGTTAGACGAACACGACTCTCCACAATGGTATGATATTGTCCACTTTGAGCATAAGCTCTCATGGCTTTGCTTTGGGCTTCCCAAAAGGCCTCATATCAATGGAGTTAGTATTCCTCACTTATAAACCCAGACCAATCTCTAAATTAGCCGATGTGGGACTTTCATCATCCAACACTGAGAGTATCGAACAATGGTTAAAAGAAGAATCCCGTCACAGTTTTGTGTTGATGTCTCGAGCTTCAGAGGTAGCAAGGAGGCAGGAAAGTAGGACATCAAGGCTGTTTGACGACTACTAGTTTATTCCTCTTTGCTTACATCTTTCTGCCTTCGTCTGCCAATTAGTCTCTCAGAGGAACTCACCTCACCATAATAACAGTATGGATACATAATGGCACACAATGGTGAGCCCCATGGTGAAAGTGCTCGTTATTGCTTTGGAGTGAACCCCATGCCGCCTTGCACCATAGGCACACGCCTAGGTGCACTTAGAGAAACTACTCGGAAATAGTAAATGGAATTCAAAGTTGATTACGATCGTTTTGACAAAGTACATCGCTATATCAAGGGTTGCAAAAGCTACACCATCACATGCCAAAATCATTTCCCTTGTTCAGGTCACTTGATAAAGGTTGAAATAACCCAACCCAATAATAAGCTCCTATAAATAGAATACCCAATTCAGGAAAGGTATGTATCATACAACGAGTGCCCAAATTCTACCTCCTATGTTCATCCCTAACTCTAATGAAACCAAAACCCCTTTTCCATCTCTTCCACAATGAGTTGATGACTTGACCATCGAAACAGACTTCTACAACTCACCACCACACCAATGTGAAACTATATAATTTCGATCCAAATGAAACTTTAAATTGTGATCCAACACCCACGTTGTCCATCATCAGAAAATTAATAAATCCTAAAGGACGGGCAATATAACAAGCTAAAAACATTTCCATTGTCATCGTTATTCGTTAACGCCCTAATCTACTTAATAAGCAGCAGACTGCACAGATTCCTAATTAAAGTAACATTCAACAAATCCAATTACAATAAAAGCTTTCATAAGCAAAAATTTGGAGCATCAAGGAAAAAAAATTACCACAGTAGCAAGCAGCGACAATGGACAAATTCGTAGCGTAAGTCGCAGAAATATTTGCCAGACCATGAACTTTCCGATGCTTGGACACTAACCCAGCTCCTCCCCCAACAAATCCTGCAGAAAAGAGAATATATAAAACATGGATGATTTTTTAGGTCGTTCTTGAGAGACACTGGAAGCAGACACAGACCTGCGATAATAGTGGGGAAAATGATGCGTTCTTTCCAATCGCCATAGTTTGAAGAAGAAGAAAGGGGAGTGTTTGAATCTAGGGTTTTAGGACCGCCGGAATCCATAGCAGCTTCCGAGAGCATCCGACGCCAAATGCTACGATAGAAGAATTGAATAAAAAAGTGTCACCGTCCGTCATCAGCCTGGAATGATACTGAAATTATTTTACTTAATCTCTATTATATTTTTACCTTTTACCTTTCAAGATTTTACCTATTTACTCCCATGTTTTTTAACTAGCATCCCACACTTCAAGTGCACCTCTATATCGATTAAATCACTCTTAACGGGTAAGTCTAGTCGGTTGAACCAATGAACCATATGAGCTGGTTAGATGTGTGAAGCAGAGAGAACGTAGTATTCTCTTTTTTTGACCCGGCCTTTTCTTCAAGTCTAGTTGGTAGAATCGGTGGGCCATGCGATCTGGTTAGATGCATGGAGCAGAGAGCTCGTGGTATTTCTTTTTCTTGATCCAACCCTTTTCTTCGAAACTAGTCAGTAGAACTAGTGAACCACATGAGCTGATTAGATGTGTGGAGCAGAGTGTCACAATCGCACTTTTTCGAAACTAGTCAGTAGAACTAGTGAACCACATGAGCTGATTAGATGTGTGGAGCAGAGTGTCACAATCGCACTTTTTCGAAACTAGTCAGTAGAACTAGTGAACCACATGAGCTGATTAGATGTGTGGAGCAGAGTGTCACAATCGCACTTTTTCGAAACTAGTCAGTAGAACTAGTGAACCACATGAGCTGATTAGATGTGTGGAGCAGAGTGTCACAATCGCACTTTTTCGAAACTAGTCAGTAGAACTAGTGAACCACATGAGCTGATTAGATGTGTGGAGCAGAGTGTCACAATCGCACTTTTTCGAAACTAGTCAGTAGAACTAGTGAACCACATGAGCTGATTAGATGTGTGGAGCAGAGTGTCACAATCGCACTTTTTCGAAACTAGTCAGTAGAACTAGTGAACCACATGAGCTGATTAGATGTGTGGAGCAGAGTGTCACAATCGCACTTTTTCGAAACTAGTCAGTAGAACTAGTGAACCACATGAGCTGATTAGATGTGTGGAGCAGAGTGTCACAATCGCACTTTTTCGAAACTAGTCAGTAGAACTAGTGAACCACATGAGCTGATTAGATGTGTGGAGCAGAGTGTCACAATCGCACTTTGATGGCAGTGGACTTGCGATTGTGCGGCACCCACTTCCAGCAACAAGTGAGTTAAGCCTATTCGTTGTTGAGTCGCCTAAGGCCAAGTAGCGTATGCTCGAGCCTCTGGCCCCAATTCAAGAAGAAAGTTTTAGAAAACGGGGGCAAAGAGATTTCGAAAGAAGGTTTTGAAAGCAAAATTTGAGAAATTGGAAATGGTGTTGGCAACAACAATGACTTAGTGCATATAACTATTGGGTAGAAAGTGACAACTAGTCATATCCCCCCATAGTACATTTGGTGAATGGTCATACACCCTCATACTGACCCAATATGGAATGGTAAAGACCTATCTAGGATGAAAGCATGTAAAAAGGGTTTGGTACGGACATGTAACTATGGACAACGCATCCTGAACAAGCAAGACCCAAATAACTGTCATGCGGCCATTGACAACACGTCTTGGACATGCATGACTGTGACACAGAGCACTCGTACTATTCCCTTTTCTTGATTCCGACTTTTCTTCACTTTAGTAGTAAAATCGGTGGTAAATGCTCGACTATTAAGTCATGTTCAATTATAATATCGTTCGAGTGTAATTTAGAAATACTTTCAAAACAATCTTAAATATTTCGCGAGACAAGCCACAAGCGTGATTTACTCTAATAAAAGAAAGCTCGTCTTAACACGAAACACGAGAAACTCTTACTCGGGTCATCCTCGAACATATGATTTTGAAAGAGACATAGAAGAAGGTGTAATGGAAATAATTACATAGATCTGTATCAGTTCCATATAGATTCAATAAGCTGCTGCTAAAAAGAAATGAAGAACTTAGCAACATTGTTGGAGGCCTCAACACTAATATGCTTATTGGGCCAAAGCTATAAGAATTTGCCTAAAAACACATTTACTTGGGGCTATTCAACGGAGGTTCAACCAATTTGGCTAACCTCTTGAACCATTCTTCTTGAGCTAGGCTAGCTCAGGTGATGGAACGGTTAACGTCTTCCCGCACAGGAAACCCAATGAACCTATGCTTGAACTCGGTGTTGTCGACCGACGAAGCTCCAGGCTTGGTTGGTGATCCTGCGATGAGTCTCTTGTGCTCTGAAAGACATTAAACGAATCAAATGTAACAAATGAAAAACCGAGAAAAGGGGAATTGAAGAGTTTGAGAGGAAAGCACGACGACTACTTTTGTTCGTAATTGCGTGGCGAGTCATTGCTAAGAAGTCTTCCCATTTGAACTTTTGGAGTTCTTGCTTCTCCTCCTCGGAGAGCTCGAAATTTGGTTCACGTCCACATACAAAAGCAGCTCTGCAAAACCAAGAGCCTAGTGAGCTTATGGTAGCTTATACGACCCGAAACAACTTGATAAGTAAATGAACTAAATGATATACAGTACTACGACTCTCCACAATGGTATGATATTGTCCACTTTAAACATAAGTTCTCGTGGTTTACTTTTGGTTTGCCCAAAAGGCCTCATACCAATGGAGATATATTCGTTACTTATAAACCCATGATCAACCCCTTAACTAGCCGATGTGAGACTCCTCTCCCAACAATCCTCCCCTCGAACAAAGTACACCATAGAGCCTCCCCTGAGGCCTATGGAACCCTCGAACAACCTCTCCTTAATCGAGTCTCGACTACTTCTATGGAGCTCTCGAACAACTCGAACAAAGTACACCCATTGTTCGATGCTCGAGTCACCTTTGACTATACTTTCGAGGCTTACAGGATTCTATTGACATGGGTAAGTTAAGGGCATGACTCTAATACCATGTTAGGAATCACGAACCTCCACAATGGTATGATTACTGTCCACTTTGAGCATAAGCTCTCATGGCTTTGTTTTCGGTTTCCCCAAAATGTCTCATACCAATGAAGATGTATTCGTTACTTATAAACCCATGATCAGCCCCGTGATTAGCCGATGTGGGACTCTTATTCCAACAATCCTCAACCGTTTGCATATGTTGTTTATCGCTCGGAATGAATATTTTTTAAAAAATTAAATGAGCGATTTGAAAAACGAATACCTGTCGTACAAATGAGCAGCCTCTTCTTGGGAACCAAACGTCCCCAAATGGATCTGTTTCTTGTCGACTTTAATTGCAGCCTGCCATTTCATGTTCTTGAAGTAGACGCCCCTCATGATTGATAGCTCTTGATTATGAGAGTTCTTTCTCCTATGTCTCTTCCGATGTTTTAGTGGATGCCCTACAAACACAACAAGTCCATGTATTCTAGATGAAATGCACGAACTCGAACTCGAACATTGTGCACAATGATATAGGGGTGAGACTGAAAACAAGTGTCTTACGAGTGGTCGTGATTGATACAACCCAAACTATATTGCAATGTAAACGATAATGGAACTACAAGAAAAAACTAAGTAACTCGAGGTACTTGGACCTTCCCTATCTTGTGATCACTCGAGCCCTAAACCTACTGAATTAGTAATATAACAGTCCAAGCCCACCGTTAACAGATATTATCTACTTTGGCCCCGTTACGTATCGTCATCAGCCTCAAGGTTTAAAAACGTGTCTGCTAGGGAGAGATTTCCACGCCGTTATAAGGAATGTTTCGTTTCCCTCTCCAACCGATGTGGGATCCCACAATCCACCCCTCTTGGGAGCCCAGCATCCTCGCTGGCACATCACCCAGTGTCTAGCTCTGATACCATTTATAACAGCCAAGTCCACCGCTAGCAAATACTGTCCGCCTCACGGTTTTAAAACGCGTTTGTTAAGAAGAGGTTTCCACACCCTTATAAGAAATGTTTCGTTCCCCCTTTCCCACTCTCTCTATTTGTAACCAAATAACATAACTAACGCACTAACTATTCAATAATATACCGTATAATATCCTAATTATCTTCAAATGGCCTTCCTATCAGTCACGATGTCGTTTCTCGTGCCAACGGCAAATCGATATTGAACACGAAACCGACAGTGCCTTAGCTTACAACAAAGGTGTTCAAATTATAAATGAAATGATATATACTTCACCAGTAAACCAGTGCAAAAATAAGCATCCTGATCAATACATACACTACTCTATATGTCAAAAGCAAGCCATAAACAACAACAAAGCTATGATCATCTGATTAAAAACATTTCATAATCAGATAACCTGAGATGGGCTGATTAGATTGTTCTTTCAGCGAGGTCAAATCCAATGCATTTGCAAAACTGGATTCCATATTTACAACAGAGCTCTGTAAGAAAAGACGATGTTCGGAAAATAACAGTCAGATTATAAATCCACGTGCTCGAGAAGCAGATATAATGAACCAGAAAACGTAAACTCAATGCTAAATATCGGAATTTTGCTCGACATACCTAAGTGGTCGATTTAGATGCAGATTTTTCATAGATCTTCATATGTTATGAACTAAGATTCACAGACCACTATCTCAAGTAACATGTAAAGAATGAAATGCAGAAATATTTCAGACTTTTATCATGAAAAACCAGGAAGCTCAACCAATGAAGTTATCTAGATCTAAATATCATTTCGAATGTCAATGTTCAGCAATGAAATCGGGAAAACTTAGTAGAAATCTAAAAACGAGACCGACTTGCTTACGAGATAACTTGTATAAATGTTAATCATGTGAACGTGGACGGTTGTCAGAAAAAAAAATTTGAGCTTGTCGTCGTACCCTATCTGTGATGTGAACATCATCAGAAGACGTGGGATGCACAGTGACAAATTTGCTACTCGGACTAGGATTTTCGGGAGCGATTCCGTTTTCTGAAAACTTAGGAAGTGAAGTTACAGATGAGCTTTTCCCTGAAATGTAGCAGGAAATTTCAATTAACAGTTTTAAACAAATGGATTAAGAACCTAGCGAGCTCGGAAAGAAACAACAAACAACCTGTTATCTCACGAGAAAATGTAAACGTACCAGCGCATAGTCCCAAGAGCCTGCGCCGTCTTAAGCTCACCATAGTTGATATCAATCGTTACGTCGTGCAGAATGTATGTGACAATTTGTTGCAGTTAAATTTTGAATGTAACCTCTGATCCTATACAGAGAATATTAACCATTGTTGTGAGCACCTGAAGACTCAAAAATATTGATAAAGTTGGTGAGTAGCAAAACAAGAAGTTCAATTCCTAAAGCATTCATGTTCATGCTTCAAGCTCAATCGATTCACCTGAAAAAAAAAACATGATTTTCGCTTTTTCTTTGATATAAAACTCAAGAGAAGATGATGTGTGAGATTCCACATCGATTGGGAGGAGAACAAAACATTCTTTATAAGAGTGTGGGAACCTCTCCCTAGTAGATGCGTTTTAAAAACCTTGAGGGGAAGCCCGAAAGAAAAGGCTCAAAAAGGACAATATCTGCTTGGGCTATTACAAATGATATCAGAGCTAGACACCAAGCGGTATGCAAGCGAGGACACTGGGCCCCAAAGGGGGGTGGATTGTGAGATCCCACATCGATTGGGGAGGAGAATGACACATTCTTTATAAGGATGTGGAAACCTCTCCCTAGTAGACGCATTTTAAAAACCTTGAGAAGAAGCCCGAAAGAAAAATTCCAAAGAAGACAATATCTACTAGCAGTGGAGTTGGGTTGTTACAAATGGTATCAGAGCTAGACACTGAGCGGTGTGTCAACGAAGACGCTGGGCTCCAAAGGAGAGTGGATTGTGAGATCCCACATCGTTTGAGAAGGAGAACGAAACATTATTTATAAGGGTGTGGAAACTCTCCTTAATAGACGCATTTTAAAAACCTTGAGGGAAAGCCCAAAGAGGACAATATCTGCTAGCGGTGAGCTTAGGCTATTACAAATGGTATCACAGCTAGACACCAAACAGTATACTAGCGAGGACGCTGGGCCCAAAGGGAGGTGGATTGTGAGATCCCACATCGTTCGGGGAGGAGAACGAAACATTTTTTACAAGAGTCTGAAAACCTCTCCTTAGTAGACGCGTTTTAAAAACCTTGAGGGAAAACCCGAAAGGAAAAGCCCAAAGAGAACAATGATGTGCGGGGAGGAGAACGAAACATTATTTACAAGAGTATGAAAACCTCTCCTTAGTAGACGCGTTTTAAAAACCTTGAGGGGAAACTCGAAAGGAAAAGCCCAAAGAGAACAATATCTACTAGCAGTGAGCTTAGGGTATTACATGACGGATCAAAGAACACAAGAAAATATGTTTAGAAGAAAGGAAAACAAAGGCAATGAGAAAGGAGGAAGGCGAAACGGTACACGGAACACGTTTTACATCGACAAACACACGAAAGTTACTAACAAAATCATTGAGCAAGCCAACATGATTGAAGTCCCAAAGCCTTTTCCCAGCTTCAGGAAACGATCTCCCCACGAGGCACACAATCTCCAAAACTAGTAACCCAAATTTAACTCCCATGCCTAAACCAATCCTTAACAATGAGAAGAAAACACAAAACAACTAGCTGTTCATTTTAAATCTCAGTATTCTCTAAAAGGATTTACAAATTCCATCAAATTTGACAAGAAATCAAACATAGTAACCGTCCAAGCCCACCGTTAGCAGATATTGTCTTCTCTGGGTTTTTCCTTTTGGGCTTCCCCTCAAGGTTCTTAAAACGCGTCTTTTAGGGAAAGGTTTCCACACCCTTATAAAGGGTATTTCGTTCTCCTCCCCAATCGACGTGGGATCTCACAACAACCCGCTCGATAACATAAAATCATATGAGTTTCAACACAATGAACACTGAAGAACAGAAACTCCAATCTCCAGAAAAGAAATCAAAGAAAGAAAAAGGGAATGACAGAAACCTTGAGCATCTATCAATTTTCATATCACTAATTCAAAAGCAAAACCAAGTGAGTCCTTATCTCTCTCAAGAAATAAGTCAACCCAACCCCCACCCCCCCGCAACCAACCACCACCATTTCTTGTAGGAGAGGCCAAAAACAAGGGAACCCCCAATTGCTCAAACGCCCAAATGAAAAGCCAAACACCAAAAACAAGACAGACCCAGAAAGGAAAAAGCAGAGAAAACCACAAAAACCATCGCACAGAGCTCAAATGAGGCAGCCATGGAAACACCCAAGTGAAGCAAACAAAAGGGAAAGCCATTAAAGAACAAAGAAACTCAAATGTGCAGTAATATACCTGAAAAAACAGCAACCATGGCGGATAAACAGGCTCAAGAAACAGAGATTTCAAAGAATCAGAGACCAATTGAAGAATTGAAGAGGAAAAACAAGAACAGGGTTGAGGAACTCAATGTGCAAAAGAAGAACGTGCATCAGAAAACACAATAGAACAAGAAATTTGGAATGGGATTAATATTATTGCAGCATTTTTGTGGGTTTTTTGGGCTCAGAGAAGGTGGTAAACTGGTGGCATGGTGGTGCTGCAGAGAGAGAGAAGAAAAGAGAAATTGTGGGTTGGAAAAGAGTTGGTTGAATTAGAGAGAGCGAAAGGGTAATGGCTGTGGCTCTACATAAATTTTTTAATTCCGGAATTGCCCTTTCAATGCCATTCTAAATCACCAATCTAGTATATATCTTTTTTATTTATTATTATTATTATTATTATTAAAATTTCTTTAATTGGTTCTTCTATTTTATCTGTTTTTTTAGAGAGAGGGATTTATATTTTTAAGAGCTGCGGGCATTTATTTATGGAGATTATAGTAATTACACAGACCGCATGCCATAATACTAAATATTTATTAAAATATTATAATTTTAATTAAAGAATAATTTTTTTTATTATTAAACTTAGAGTAAACGAGCTGGTTACGTGGATTACCTAACCAGCTCTACTACAGTTCACAACTCAACCCTCTATTTTTTTAATTATTTAAAAAAATTCTACTTATCGACTCTACACTTACATTAATAATTAAAATTTCATAGAATTTAAATATCAAACATCTAGTCCTAAACTATTAAATTCCGTTACAAACGTTAAACATTTTTTATCTTTTAAAAAGATAGGATTGAGTTAGAATGTAACCCTACTTTTGGGCTAGTTGGGTTGACCCGACCAAGAAAATGTTGGCACTCAATTAGTCACGCTAGCTATTGGAAAAATTTCTCCTTTTATTTTCTACTCTGACCGTCTGACGAGTCATCTACTTAAAACAATCCAAGTTTCAGATGAGCATCTCCCAATTATGTCTGCTCGAGAATCTTGTTCCTTATGCCAATGAGATAGTTTCAATTGTCTATCCTTTCTCAAAAGTACGTTTTGTATGTGAACATGATATGTCAATCCACAAATCGAACTGAATTTTTTAGTTTTGGTTGGATTGTAAAAATTAGTTGAGTTGTCCGTTCGGGGTTAAAATTAAAAAAAAAATCTAAATTTTCATTTTTTTCTCCATTTATCTTTAAAAATTAAAATATATTATAATCAGTAATAATTAATTAAAATTTTCAATTTTATGTGGTGAGCTTAAATTCGTCTGGTCCATTATATATATATATATATATATTTTTGTGAAAGTTTATTAACCAATTTTTAAAATTTTAAATTAAAGTTTTTAAAATCATATTATTATTGTTTCTTTAAATAAATTAAACCTTAAAATCATATTTTCGTTGACATTTTCATTCACGACATTATAGTTAAATTGACCTTATGTTTTGAGTTTCTAATTTTGTCACGCATGTCTCCACTTTTATTTTAGTTTATTTATTATTATTAAAATTAAATTTATTCCATTCATTCAAAAAAATTCTTATATTTTAACAAAATTAAAAAAAATATATTTTGATATTTCAAGTTTATTTTTCATTTGGGAATCAATAAAATATAATAAATTTTATTAAATCATGTGAATATCGATTTAAAATACTATACTATAATTTAAATTTATCCAACAACAATAATATTTTTTTTTAACCGTTAATAATAATAATAATAATAATAATGGGGTTTGTGAGGTAAAATGACGAAATTGTCTTAAACAAAAGAATAATGAATCTATTTTTTGTCGTTAGTGCAACCCACTATTAATCGACATTCATCCCTTCCTTAAACTTTAAAAATAACGGACGAATATTTATAATTAATAAATTCTTATAATTTTAAAATGTCTAATTAAAGTATTAAAAATTTAGATTGGATATTAAAAAAAATATTTATTTTATAATAAAAATATAGTTTTTTTAATTATTAATTTTTAAATTTCGCTAAAATCTAAAATAAAAAACATATAAAGGGAAATATCAAGTTTACCCTTTTAAAATCATATAATTCAACTATTTTTTTAAACAGATTTCACAAACGAAAAACGAAAAATAATAAAAATAAATTATAAAATTCTTATGTAATTTTTTTAATCTTCTTTAATTCAAATAATTTTAAGAATTTACAAATTTCAATGTAATTAAGATATGAGAAAAAAAAAACAAAGAAATAAATAAAATACAATTAATTGGAGAGTTTAATGTGAAGGAAGCATTAAATTGATTTTAGTATTTAGGTTGGCGTGTGAAGAAGACGAGGCCAGCAGATAATTAAATAAGAGGATAATTTTTTTAAATATAAAAAAAGGAAGGGGCATTTTGGGAATAAGAGAAGTTTGCAAGGGTATAAAGGGAAATTGGAAAAATTAATGATGGATGGAGTTGGGGTTGGTATGGTGAGGCTACGATGGGGCACCGACGAAATCGTGATTGGATAGGTGACCTGCCATTCATGCCATCACCAACCCAATTACCGTTTCTACCCCCGTAATTTTCACACCCATCCTTTTTTTTTTTTTTTAATTAAATATCTTTTCCCCCTTAAATTTTAAATATAATTTCTATTTTTGAAAGATCAATATCGTTTTAATTAATTTAAATAGATGAAAATTTATAATTAAATTAAAAATTGACACAAAAAATAAAAAATGAACGTGCTAGACTTCAAAGAAGATTGTGAGATCCTATATTGATTGGAGAGGGAACGAAACATTTTTTATAAGGGCGTGAAAACCTTTTCCTAATAGCGCGTTTTAAAACTGTGAAATTGACGGTGATGCCTAACGAGTCAAAGCGGACAATATCTACTAACGGAGGGCTTTGACTATTACAAATGGTCTCAAAGTCAATCACTAGACAATGTTATGCACTAGTTGCTGTAGGACTAGACCCTCTACATAGTAAACGCGTTTTAAAATCTTGAAAGAAAGTACGGTAGAGAAAGCATAAATAGAATAATATCTGATAAAGGTGGGGTTAGATGGTTATAAATAGTCGCAGAGACAGAGACTTGGAACTGAACCATGATTTAAAAAATTCCATATATGCCTAAATATTTACATTTGTTTATAGATATAATGTTAATTTTTAATTTTAATTAAGTATAAAATCTAATTTAAAAATGTTAATAAATTAAAATCTTTTTAACTTTTAATTTTATCTAAAAATGTCTAAACAAATTCATTTTTTATAAAAATAAAAATAAAATTTTTATTTCGAGTAGATGTGTGCTGGCCGGCCCAAATGGTTCTATAAAAGCTGAAGCATTCGTGTTCGGCGCCTGTTCGCGGCATTTGCGATTGGGATTTATTCAAAAGCTTGGACGCGCAGCAAATTAGGGTTTCGATCTGTGAAAGCTCAAAATTCATCACCGAGATCGATCATGATTTACGACGTTAACTCCCCTCTCTTCCGCTCCTTCCTCAGCCAGAAAGGAGGCCCTTCCGACAGGAGGTATTCGCCTCTATTTTATTAACACTCTATTGTTGTGTTCTATTATCAATCGCACGAGTGCTAGAATTCTGCATCTTTCTTTGTAGGTTGGGATTTGAATGCACCTATCTAAGAGACTTTTAGAGTTTGTTAGAGTATTCGAGACAAGTTTGTAAGAATACTAGAAACTATTCATTTGGGAGCTTTATCTTTCATTTTTATATATTAGAAATTATGTTTGATACTCACTCTTAAATTGTAAGTTGAAAGATTTTTAAACTTCGTCGATGTAAATGTGATGGACATATTGTAATGATCATGGTTGATCGAGCATGAAGACTGGATTCTTGGTCATTGCAAATTTTGGGGCATGTTGTCTGAATTTTTTAATATTTTTTTTGGCTACTCCTAGAAATTTTTAAGAATCCCCCTGAGTCAAACAACTTCACAATCAACTTAGTTGTGTATATAAATTCTACCTCGGGTAAAGAAAGTGCTTTGCCTTCTCGTTGTCCTCAACTCCTAAAATATTCGGTTTGTGATCATAAGCATAAGATGTAGTTTGAAGTGCTTCTTTAATCATCAAGAGAACTTGTCTAATGATTTTTTTGTGTAGCCTACCTGCTTATCATCTCTCTCTCTTCCATTCTTGAGCCTGAAATTTCTAATCTGTTTTCAGAAGGTTTGGGGATCTGAAAATGCATTAAACTTAAAGTAACAATCTTTAGATGGATGGTTTCTTTTAAGAGGGATGGAGAAGACGTAGGAGGAGATGTTGGAGGTTGTGAGGTTTAATGCATCTTTGTAGGCATCTGTTAAATGGACAATTTTGTAATTATCAGCTTGGTGTCATTCTTTTGGATTGCAGTCCATTCCTGTAGCTAGTTACCTAGTTGAGGAGGACTTTTTTTGTTGACTTGTTTTTGTATGACCTTGTTATTTCTTTCATTTATCTCAAAGAAAGCTTGGTGTCTTACCCCCCAGAAAAAGAGAGAGTCAAAACTGTCAAACTTGGGATTTGATCTTTTCTCATGCCGATTTTCCTTGTCTTGTTGTTTTTGATGCTACCTTTTGTTCTTAATTTTGCGATAAATTTCACCATTTTCTTTTTAATCTTCTTTTTCTGTAATACTTAGCTTGGAATGATATACTCGCTACATAGATTAACTTGGAAACCTATCCGTTCTTTCTGACTGAGCTTCAAGTCAACCTCAATTTAATCTTTGGGCTTTTGTGGTTGCAATGCAACCATGTAATTAAATCTTGAATGTGAAGCTCATACATTTGAGTTTGGATAGTGTATCAATGTCCAACATATGTTTGGCACACTTCAACACCTATTGAACACTTGTCAGAGGCTTTTTGTGGACGTGCCAAACATTTATTAAACATGATGGACATGTATTAAGGTGAACAATTGTCATTCGTGTAGAAGGACACTTGAATTTAAGTGTTGTGGCATTTTTATTTAAATGGACGTTAAAAAATGTACATGAGATAAGAAGTATTTGACTTGTTTTCAAATGCATATGAATGCATGTGCATTATTGACTTTAAACTTAACGTAGAAAAATGTTGGGTTGGGTTTTGTTTATGAATGTTTTCTTGTAAATTACTCCATGATTAGAAGTTGGTGATAAGTTTCTTCAACCTTTGTAACCATTACACATTTACAATTATTATTGGAAATTCGACAACAATGTGAATTTATTTACTACTTGCTGAATGATACAAAGCGTTGAAACATTTTTCTTTCGGTTCTTATTGAAATCCATCCATTGATCCTGAAATATTTTTTCCATTCTTTATATCCCTTGATGTGCCTTAATTTGTTGCATTACCTAGCTTAGAAACTGGTGTTTTTTCTACATGCTCTTGCTGTCATGATTCTTGTGCCACGTAAGCTTCTCTTGAGATTTGACCTGATGAGAGTGAGGTTAAGGGCTTATGATGTTCTTCAGTGTTTAATCTTTTTGTCTGAATTGAATGGTTTAGGAAAATGGAGCAGAAGCCGAAAGAACAGAGACCAAAAGCCAGTGAGAATAAGCCTGTTATGTCAGAATGAGAATGAGTTGGTTAAATCCTTACCGATTCTCTTCCGTTTTAGTAAAGTTTTTAAAAATTAAACACAAAAATGGAGTTTGGTTGAAGTTGTAGAATAGACATATTCCATGGAGTTGACCTCAAATAGTTCCAATTGCAACTGGAGCACAGGCTTGGCTTCTTAGTTAACAATTAAAGGGCAGGGTGGAACCTTTAACTTTAAGTAAGGTAGTTGATGTCTTATCTAAGATGAGTTGACTCTTTGAGGTATTATTGCTTAGATGTTTCAACTTCCGTGCAGGTGGGTGTCAAAGCAAATGATGAAAGAGAAGTGAAGACCGAAGAGTTTAGAGGTCGACTGATCCGACTCCCAAAAGTTGTGGCGACAAAGCTCGCTCTCCATCGTCTATCTAGCAATGGAGGAAGGAAGTTGTTCTGGCGAGACTAAGAAAGAAAGGGGAGAGAGTTTGAACCATACAATTTTGACACCAGAAAGGCAGAAACTTTTGCCCCAATTCGAAAGGTGGACAATCTCTTTTATCTTATCTCCATCTGCAATATTTATTACTTCCAAAACTGATATGTCATTCATTTATTAATTTCAGAAATTTATCTATGGATGCCATTTTGTGCCCTCTCTTTTCTTCTTGGGGTGTGCTGCCAAAGTTCGGTTAGGGATGTCATGTGAATCATTCCATATTTTCGAGTTTGTTCCTAAGTTCCTCAACCTGACCAACCCGACTAGAGTGGTTAACCCAATCCAACCCATTCCATCCTTCGTATCACGAAATTGGGTCTTGGGTTTTAACACCTTGAATCAACAAATTTTAATGGAGAGACAAGGCAAGATGACTCACAATTGGATTATAGCAGAGATGCCCATGTGATGAGGAAAGATTTAAATATACTTGTTTTAAATAATGTTATAAAATATCCTAATACAAAAAATAATACTCTACCATCAAAAATATGATTTTAATGTTCAACCAACCTAGTATCAAAAAATTCAAAATTTAATATCCAACAACTTATTTACTATAACAACAACAATAATAAACAATAAGTGAATAATTGGGGTGGGGCGGAAACATGGACATGGACATGGACATGGACGAGGAATAAAGTTTTCGTCCCCATCCCAATTTAGTCAACGGGAAAAAAAACTCTCCTTCCTCCCTCCCCTGTTCATTAATAAAATTTAAACACCATACAAAATTAATAAACACATCTTTAAAACCAACTCAAATTTACTCTATTGAATTGGTCATGAAAGTTTAGAAACTAAAATGAAATTTCACGAATGGATCGTGAAGTGGAGGAATGAGGCATTGGCATGTTGAAAATTTGGGTACACAACCACTCTAAGCCTCTTCTTGTCATCCAACTCCTATAAGCATATGGGCTTCTGATGTTTGTTCATTTCACCTACCAATCCTTTCCCTCTTTTTAAAGTTTCCTCCTTCAACCTCTCATAATTGCTAATGTTTTATGCCTTTTTGGCCTACACAGCCACACCCAGAGGATCCCATGTTATGACTCACTGTAATGTCCCTTTCGATTCAAACAAATTATTCACTGTTCTCATTCTACCATTCACGTTCTATGACATGTTATCGTTTCTTCCATTATTTGCTATTTTAAAGAAGAGTCTATTTCTACTGATCTCTATGTATATAAATCATTGATGACGTAGAAATCGTATATAGAAAAGTAGACAGTTGGTTAGAAGAATAAAATGTCGATAGCTACAAGACGAACATTGTAGATTATGAGGTGACTGTCGATTATGACCCCTTGGTGCCTTATCTAGCTTCTCTTGGGCTTCTGGTTCATCTAGTTACTCTCCATGTAGGGTACAAGTACTTTTCATGCTCTATATGTCCACGTCCACGTTTAGGAGCATTTGATGATGAGGGATCAACCTCAAAAGCATAATATAGTGGAGTATGAAGATATCATGAATCAACACGGGATCGATTTCATCAACTTTAGAGAAGTTTTGATCTCTCCCTCAAACACTTTTGGTACAACTTGTTTCATGTCTACTTGTCTCGTTACTCTGTTGGATATATGCTAATCAACAACATGAAATCATATGGGAAAACTTACCGTACACTAGATATCGTGACCGTTTCTACATTAATTAGGTAATGTCGTGATGACATCGATATGAAGCTTTCAAATACAATCCTTAGAACCCTTAGAGATGAAACCAATTTAGATCAAGGACAGAAAGATAAGAAAACTTAATATTCTTACCTCAACATTGGCCAATTCAGCCAATCCATACTGCCCGTAGTTCCTCCCATTGTTCATCAACGAGCATAGACAGATTGGGGATAGGAGACTGGTGTGTGGACCAGTGGTGGGGTTTTGGAAAACTTCTTTAGAAGTTAATGATTAGAGACGAATGGGGTGTAGGGTCTGTGTAGCTTGAGTGCATGTGTGACTTGAGTACTGTCCTTGGGCGAGATGCTGCTATTGAATCCCTTTTTTATGCTAGAGTTGTCATCATCTCATCATCTTCACAACCTTTATTTTAAACTTTTAACCATCCCAACCCAACACCCGACTGCAAATAATACCCGACCATATGAACATCGATACGTTATATAGTCTCTCTTTCATGTAGATACTCTATCCCTTCTGTCTCTCCTTGGAGCATATAGATCCACCCAATCAATGAACAAAAGCAAAACAAATTTAAAAAAGAACAACAAATGGGTAAGGAGAAGAGGAGAACAATATCTAGGCAAGCCCTGAGCCAAACTCGAAAACGAGCCGGGAATAACATGAAGAGTCTAGGAAAGATTCGACATGGAGTGGAAGTACTTGGTCGTTGGAGTTTCCTTTTCCTCAACCGATGATTTATGTCGTTATAGTTGAAAGACGTATAACAAAATAAGGCTCAATCAAGTGTCAACAGTGGAATGTGGAAGACAAACAGACACTTTTAGAAAGTAGCTTTTTTTTTCCCTTTCCAAATGTTAGTTAGATCAGACCCCCTCCTCTCCTCTTTCTTTCCTTCATTTACACCTTTCTCCACTTTTCTCTCTTCCACAGACTCAGTTCAGCCTCCCATTCCAAGCTTCCAAAGACTCAGAAGAAGAAGAAAATGAGTAAAGAAGAAGAAGAATTAGAATTCTCCCCTTCAGCTCAGTTTGTGTCTGAAATCTCCCAATGCTTCTCCTTACTTCTCTCACACCCTCTCTATTTCTCTTATTTCCTGTTCTTCTCCCCTTATCTTCTCAGGCTCCTCTCCTTTGTTTCCCCTCTTTTGGCCACCACATTCCTCTTGATCCTCCAGCCCTTTTTCTCCCATACCCACCAAACCCATTTAGATGACCAAACATTCCCTCTCCCTCAGCATCTTGAGTGGTTCAACACTGTCTTCAACGGACCCACTGGCATCCCCACAAACCCATTTCCACTTCAAGAACCAGAGATCAACAAACAAGAAGCAAAAGAAGAGGATCATGAGGATGAAGAGACTAGAGAAAATGGGATTGAAATGGGTAAGAAGAGCTTTTTGGTGGGGTGTAAAGAGTTCGAAGATGATGAGGATAAAATGGATTTGCTTTGGGAGAAGTATGAGGAGAAGGATGAAAAGAGCTGCAATTTAAAGAAGGATTTGAGGAGTTTGGTGAATCTTCAAAAGGAAATGGAAGAAGAAGAAGAAGAAGAAGAAGAAACTGGGAAAATTTGCTGCTTACAAGCTTTGAAACTTTCGACTGGAAAAATGAGATTTGGAATGGGGAAGAAAAGCGGTTTGAAGAAGATTTCAAAAGCTTTTAAAGGGTTTAAATTGTTGCATCAGCTCGCTACCACTCGTAAGAACAAGACATGAACATCGTTGTGTATTTTTGTTGGTTTTTTCTTTCTAATTTTTCGTCTAAAAAATAAAATAATTTATTTTAATTTTACATTTTGGAACTAAATTTAGAATCTCTCAATTATGAATTGGAATTATTGATAAATATTTGGGAGAATTCCTAGAAATAAAAAAATTTCATAAAAATAAGTTTATCCATGTACTTTTAAATTAATAGGATAAAAATATAGATTTAATATTAATATAATATCTTGCAATGAATTAATAATTAATATTATTTTATGTAATTTTTGTTTCACAGAATTGTTGCTCTTTTATATTAACATATCTCTCATTTTACTAAAAAGAACGATAGTTATATTTTAAAGTTAAAATAATTTTTTTAAATTTTTATTCAATATAGAAGCTTTATTTTGGGTAAATTTAATAAAATTTAAAATCCTTTTATGAACATTAATAACAATTAATTAATTATTAAAGAAACAACTTGTAAAACTAAAGTTCACTTTACCACGTGTCATCAAGTTGTCGCACGTGGGCTTCTACGTCATACATGAGGTGACATGGCAAAAAATAAATGAAGCATAATTTATTTAAAGCATGAACTTTCATTATTAGGCGTGGATTTGGGAATTTTAAAATTACATTGTGGATAAATAAATTTAATAATAATTTAATAATTGATTAATCAATTAAAAAGTTATAATAAAGTTGTCTAAACAAATGATTAATAGCACCATTGATCTTAGGAAGATGATATTCCAACATCTGCTGCTCATATGGATAATGAATAACATATGGCTCGAGATGGTTGATGTAGATATGGATTATGGATACTACAACCAATCAAGATATAAACTTAACAATTTCATAAAAAAAAAATTGACTTTCATTTTTTTTATGGAAGGATAAGGATCAAACCATCGACTTTCATAACTGTGAGAGAAAATCAAAGCGTGAAACCGGACGGCCAACCAGTTTTTCATTTCAGGTTCAGGATTTGGATGGCAATGGCGCATTCCATAAGTAACAATAATACACCGACATGTTTCAAAATCCATTTAAAGCAAGCAATTTTTAAAGGGGGGAAAACTTGATGAATCTAACCATACATTCAAAGGTAGGCCCCCAAAATTAATCGTTGAAGCTGACTAAGCTATAATGCCACCGACGGATCTCATATCATCCTTAAAAAAATTATATAATTACTTACTTTGAAACTCAAATATCCCTATTTAGGAAATAGAAGGGAGTCAAAATGATGGTTTTTATAGGCGCTACAAATGGTTAATGCTTTCCTTTGGACAAGCAGAGCCAAGATCTCTCCCTCCTACAACACACTCTATGGATGAACAGGCAGGCAGGCAGGCAGGCAGGCAGGCAGGCATCATCAGACAATTTAAAGGCCAAGATTGCAGGCTTGGACAAACTCTAAATCATAATCTACATACTTGGTCCAATATGGCCGAAATTGGGTGATGGCAATGTCCAGCCATGGCTTCATGTTCCCATTGAAGTGCACAACTGCAGCATTTTCAATCTCGCTTTTGCTGATGCTGGGATTGTAGCCGAGTCCGAGGACGTGCCATGTCTTGTCCAGTGGCTTTGTTGTGGAGTAATATGTGATTAAACCAGGAGGCAATGTCCCTAGTTTCCACAAGGTCCGATTTTCGTTCTGCACGCAACAAAAACTAAAAGGTTAGAGATAAGGCGAGCGGATGGAAGAAAGAACATACTTTTGGCTCCAGTGATTGATTGGAATGGAGAGCTCTTGATGAAAGAACTATTAAAAGTATAGAATCAAACATCAAAAAGATTTGTCACTAATCACTTCAATATTGTTGCTATAAGAAATACTCCCTTAAATAGATGCCTAAGTTGTCCAACAAACCAGAAAAAGATAACCAAATTGTGAGATCCCATGTTGATAGGTGCGGGGAACGGAATGTCCTTGTAAGGGTGTGGAAACCTCTCCCCTAGTTGACGCAATTTAAAACCTTGAGGAAAAGCTTAGAAGGAAAAGCCCAAACAGGACAATATCTACTAGCGGTAGGCTTGGGTTGTTACAAATGGTATCAGAGCCACACACCGAATCAGTAAAGACGTTGCACCTCCAAAGGAGTTGGATTGTGAGTTCCTACATTGGTTGGTGAGGAGAATGAAGCATTCCTTATAAGGGTATGGAAACCTCTCCCTAGTAGACATGTTTTAAAACCTTGAGGAGAAACTTAGAATGGAAAGTCCAAAAAGGACAATATATGCTAGTGGTGAGCTTGAACTGTTACTAAGATTGTAACTTGAAAGTAAGTCCGATATTTGAAATGGGACAGACCAAACATTTGCTGAAAAATTTATTACGAAGGAAATGAACATTCAGAAAACAAGTCGAGAATCAGTTAGTCTTACCATATTCTGCCAGTAGTGATATTCTTCTGTGCATTTTTCCCTTCTCCAAGCATCCAAATCGAAAAAGTTCATTCCATAAGCCCATGCACATGCCTTGGGGTCAAACTTCTCCTTGATTAATGGATGTGAAAAGTTCATGTACTGTGCATATCTATGGAACGAGCCAAAACACGTCTCCACCGCGCCGATTACTTTTCCATCCATATCGATCTTCCACAACCCGGTCAAGTCCTTCTGGACTACTATGTCATCATCCAAAAACAGAATTCTGTGCAGTTTTGGGTACATCTCAGGTAAGTAAAACCGCAAATGGTTCAAGATTGATAGATATTTGGGATTTCTGAACTTCATATTTGTTGTATCCTTCGTTGCATTTTCAACACTATTCTCAAAGTAAAACCTCTGTAAATTTGCAGACTCTAACTGACGAAGCACTGGAACATAGGAAGAATTCAAGAACTTGTAATCCTCCACTGCCTTGACTTCAACGTGAGCTCCATTATAGTCCTTCAGTTTGAACATAACTTGCATTGCCCCAAGATTCATCTTGTCAGTAACAACATGAAAAACATGCTTGCTTGGTTCTTGAGCATTCTTAACAGCTGAATTAACGACCACCGATGCAGCAACTACATTGTCTGAGAATATTGCATAATGGTAAAGGTTTGGATCCTCTATTTCTGGTGGTACCGGTTTTCCTACATCTGAATATTTATCTGGATGTGCAATTCTCTCCTCCATCAACCTCATTGAAATGCAGTGCAAGCTTTTTGGAAGAGACTTAGCAGCGATTAAACTCGAAAAAGCACCTTGTTTCTTGGCTTTTGTCAACAGCTCATTCACTGCAAAAATCGTGTCCTTCAACTTCTGGATCTTAAGTTGGTTGTCAAATGATTCTTTTGCTTCAGCAATCACTTGTCTCGTAACTTTAATACGCTCTTTTACCTCTTTCTCAAACTGACGAACCAAAGCCTCATCGACGGAAGCCGTTTCAGGCTCAAAGAGACTACGATAAGTAGGTTTATTATTGAGATCCGTATAGTTCTGAGAAAGATCCGCAAATACCCTAACAAGCTTCGCGTACTCCAGTTTAAGCCTTCGAGCATAAGAGGCATAGGCGTGAAGCAAAGCCCGATGGTCATCGGCCTGCTTCCGGATCTGATCCAGCCGCGGTTTGAGAGGGTCCGATTTCACAGCTAATGGAAGCCTCGCTCTCGAATGGATCCGATAAGGAACAGAATCGTAACCCTAATTTCATTAAACCACACCAAACACATTCACTTCAGAGCACAACTCAAAACACTCCCCAACGAAATTCCAGAGAAAATAAACACCAAAAAAAAACGTCTGTGACTGAAAAGGCAAACATTTCATTACAAACTCGAGAAATGCACACTTCGCGAAACAAAAAAGAAACACATCAATTTCAAGAAAGAACATATGAGGAAACCGGATCCAAACACTCAAACACAAAACAATACATAATTAGAGGCAAAACACCGAGTCGAAACTAAAACACCAGAAGTGAAAAGTGCAATAAAACGAGATCATAAGGATTACCAGAAATTCAAATCAATTGAGAATGAGAAAGAAGAGAATCAAACAGGAGAACTTACAGGAGGCGCGAGATCGGAAGAGTGGGTGGAGAAAGTGAAGAAGAAGGAGAAAGAGAGAAAGATGAAGAATGCAAGGGATAAGGCGGAGACGAGGACTCTGAAGGAGGAGATTCTTCTGAGAAGCGTTTGAAGAAGAGGATCTCCATTAGCGACTCTTCCACCAATCCGCAGGTTCGCCATTTTCCTCTCTGAAGGAGAGAGACGGGCTGTAGAAGAAGAAGCAGAGAGAGATTTGGGAGAGAGAGAGAGTGAGAGTGGGATACAACTAAGAGACGGTGTTTAATGAGAACAGGGAATTGAAAAGCGCGTGATTGGAGGAGTCCCTATCAAAAATTAAAACTTGTTGTCATAATTAATTACTATTTTTATATTATTTAAAGCAACTTAATCTCAACTTAATTAACATTTAATGAAAATTTCGGTATTAATTAATCATATATTTCATTTTGTGATTATAAATTTCATGATAATTGGTGAGAATTTGCAAAAATTGGGTCTCTCGACAGTTCCTTTCCATTAATATATCCATTTTATAAAAATAAAAAATGTATTAAACAATGCATTAATTCTTTTATCAAAATTTTAATATGGTTAGGTAGAGTCGAGGGTAAGGACGGGATAGGAAATACAATTCTTGTTTTCAACTCCGTTTAGGGACGGGATACAAAATACAATTCTCGTTTTCAACTCCGTTTAGCTAACCGAAAGAAACATATATTCTGCCTCATTTTTAACTCGTTTAGAGTAATGTGTATAAGATCGAACCTTAGTTTATGGTATTAACACTTTCCCCATTTTCGAGCGGCTAAACTTCAA